CTTCAATTTATTAGTATATAAACTTGTGTTATCTGTTGCCTGTTGTATTCTGCCATTTTAGGGAAAATTGTGTTAGAATGTGAGAAGGGTCATGCTGAAACATACAGACATCTTAATGATAGCAAGTTAAAAGCACATGTCAAATGTTTGTCCCAGATGATTAGTAGACTGAAAATTACAAGAGTTTCAGCACTGTGGAGTAACAACATTAATTTCTTTCAAGACTCTTCCACTTACCATTCTATAATCTTGGAAAAGTCACTTACCGTATGTGACCAGATTTCCTCATTTATAAATAGTGGTAATATTTCCTACCTCCTAGGATAGTTGTGAAGGTTAAAAAAGTAAAAAACATGCCATGTGCTGACTACAGTGCTTATCAGATATAGTAAGTGTTCATTTTCGTTATAAGACCTGTGTTAATAACTCCCACTAATTTCCAGGTTTCTTCCAAAATTGATACTGCTATTTTGAGAGTAAGAATATGTCCATGACCTCTTTATTTAACTCTGAGATTATTACTAAATGAGATGAGAGTCCTCTCTTCTAATTTTTCTATTTCCAAAGGTGATAAGGATAGACTGCCCCTTAAATTTGAGACCTAAACTTTCGTTCCTCTTAGAGGACTTGTTCTGTTCTAGCCTTTGCCTATTTTTCTCTTATTCAGAGTCACTGAATGGGTTGTTTTGTTTTCGTTTTCTCAGATACTCTAAAGATCCCTATAGTCATTCATGTGGTAGATAGTACTGTTTTAAATATTTCAACTTACCTCAGAAATAGAGGCTTAGGCTTTATATATAACACTTGACTTTAAAATACTCTTAGTTGTCTCGTAGCTCTATGGTTAATGTTATTAAGTTTGTCATGCCCAGTTTGCCCCTTATCAAGGGTAGAAAGTAAAATATTGGAAGGCAGTATGTTGAATTTCTAGGTCAGTCTTCAGTCTACCAATACCAATATAGCCGCTAAGTCAAATCTGACTCTTTGCAACCCCATGGACTCCAGTACACTAGGCTTCCCTGTCCTTCACCATCTCCCGAAGTTTGCTCAAACTCATGTCCATCGTGTTGATGATGCCATCCAATTCTGCTTATGTATAAGTTCCCTAGAACATCAGATTCATTTACAAATAATTGCAAATCTGTAATTAATAACAATCTAATCCCTTAACTAGGACTCCAGCCCATTTCAGTGACTTCTAAGAAGAATACTTCTTTTAAAATAACAACTGACAAGTCAGATTGTACAAATCAGAATTTTTATGACATTGTGAATTTAACCCTAGTGCACTTTCTCTGTTAACCAAGCTAGTAGCCAACCCAGTTAAAACAAAATCATATTTTCATATATGTAGTTTAACAGAAAAATTAATTTCCAAATTAACTGCAAGTACATCTTTGTAATATGTATGTTATATGTAGGAAAAAACTAGATTAAACTGTCTTATTTCTGATATTAAAAGTTCTAGAAAATGATGATAAACATGCTTATCGATGTTCACAAAATGTCAGTTAAATCCCTTCACATCCCTCAGTTAATGCTGAGTCTTGTTGGAATTCAAACCAAATGCATAAAATGAAACATTCAGAATAGAAATTTCTTTACAATTAGGTAACTTAAATGATTCGGAGTTGTTATACCCCTTAACCACTTTTAAAAGCTGTACTTCTTATGTAATAATTGTCCTGATCAGGGAACTCTCTAAGCTGCCTTTCTCTGGTGATGAAGGTTCCCTAAGATCATCACTCCAACTAGAAAATTTCTATTTCCTGTTCAGAAGTTTAAATTACTCATATTTATTTAGGATACCCTGATATCTTTACCTCTTAATCAGTAGATCACTAGGATGCTGTAAGGAGTAATGGACCAAAGGATTTGCTGTGAGTCTCTAAGGTTATTTTGACATAGGACTGCCACACTTGCAGCCTGCCAGTCAAAAAAATGAGAGAGCTGTCTCCACAACTAGTTTGCTTTTTTCCCATCTTTCTTGTGTGACAACCATCAGGATATTGTTTGTTGTTGGCTTATTGTAGTAATTTTTTGTGTTCTGACCAGAGCACTCATAGATTTATCCACAGCATTTGGGGAGTTTTCTTTTGTTCTTTGACAAAACCTATTCTAAAATAAAGTAGAAGTAAGAAATTATTAAGCAATACCAGTCAAGATACTTAAATACTTTCATGGTTATAGAAAATTGTATTTATTATCCTCTAGTTCCCCCCCCCACCCCCCCCCCCCACCCCCCCGCTCCGAAACTCTCAGGCTGTGGAACTCTAATCCTACAGATAATGAGATTTGTTTTCCCATGTCTTTTAAAAAAAATCACTGTGGTGTTTTAGGTGGTTTTCTACCCCGTAGCCCTTATACTCTGAAGGGTTTATTTTTTTCTGTAGTTGTGGAGATTGATTTTTTTTGTTTCCTTTTGTTTTCGAGAAATAGGTCCAGCACTTGGAAATATTATCACCCATGTTGTTATTTTGAAGAAAAACTAATAAGCAAGTGGCTATAGAAATGCTGAATTCCTGCCTTTATATAGAATTTTCCCTCTAGATAATTATGTCTTTCCTCTATAGCCAGAAAAACATAAGATGAGCCCCCTCCTAATATGTGTCACAGTAAATTCAGCCCATACTGAGAGACTTCTTAGTGGAGGATGAAAAAAGGTGACCAATTCTCTTCTAAACAGAATTATTAATTCTTGTTCACTGTTGTTTCTGCCCCGTGTCCCTCTTAGCTTGCTTTTTCTGTCTTTGGGGATATAGCCTCACACTGCACCCTTTTTCATTAACAGTCAAGTGATTAGACTGATAATCATTAGAATGATTAGAACCACACATCCAGGATTGGTAATAGGCAGTTCTCATGATTGACAGGAGGAGGGAGTACAGAGTATTCCTCTAAATCATATAAACACATGGGAAAAAATATTCTTAACTAATTACCAACTGGTAAGTAAGTTTTCCTTGACTCTCCTTCCTAACATTAAGGCATTGTTGATCTAAATTCAGTGATACTATCTGAATGGTTTACAAAATTCTGTCTTCCAAAGTTTCCAACAGGCTATAAAATCCATAAAAATTTCCCTAGGAATCCCAGTTTGGGGCTTTGTAAAGATCATTCATGTTTCCTAATCTCTTACATTCATCCAAGGTACATAGATTAATTGCATGAGGTTCCCTCCATTTTTATTTTGTAATTCTATACTTCTGGCCCTTCCCCTCCCAGAAGGCTACTTCATATATCCAGCAAAATGTTGTAAGATGTCTACCCTCCTCCACCCAAGACAGAGTCGATCATCTTTGACACCTGCTTAGTCTCCTGGGTCTGCTACTGAGTGTAATCCCCCTTACTGGCAACATCACTCACCAGGTCAGCTCTACAGATTCTTTTGAGCCTAATTCAGTCCATTTTTCTTTCCGACAAATGTGTGTATCAAGATAACTACATCACTATGTGTTTGCAGCTTAATACGCTTCTGTTTAAAAAGCATTGCTGAGCAAAGATCAGTTTCTTCAGTTGTGAGAGACTGGCTTCAGTCTAGTTGTTTATTATGAGCATAAAACTCACATTTCTTAAGCTCACATTGTAGATTGTCTGCTTGAAGTATCAATTTTAGAAATGGGGACTCTGTTTTGCTCTAGAATTTGAACCCCCTTGCTGTTGTTGCTGTCCACTCTTCTTAGACTGATTTTTTTTTTTTTAGTTTATCTTAATAGATAAATTATTCACTTTGTTTGAAAACTAACATTATAAAAAAGGTATGCAGTGAGTAGTCTCTTATCCTCATTTCCCGGCTGTCCAGTTCTCACACTGCGCTCTCCAGTAGGTACCCACTGTTCTTAGTTTGTAATGTATCCTTCCAGAAATTTGTTATGTAATTATTGGCAAAAATTAAAATGAAATATTATTTTTCTTTTTTTTTTTTTACACAAAAAGTAGCATATACTTTTCTGCAACTTTTTTTTCCACCTAATATAACTGATATTTTTCCATATCACCAGATAGAGAGCTGCCCCACTCTTTTTTTAAAAAACTACCCAATAGTCCATTGTATGGAAGTACAATACCATACTTTCTATAACTGTTCCCTCATTGAGGGATATTTTTAAAGCTTTGCTACCATAAATAATGCTGTAATAAATAACCTTGTACAGACATTTTGTGTGAGCATACTGTAGGGTAAATCATCAGAACTGAAAGGCATTTGGACCCGATAATCTGAGAAGGACAGTCTCAAGATTATATGAAGTGCTAGTTTATGGAGGGAAAGGAACACCAGTGTACGCTCTACTTCTCAGTCTTTTTGCCCGTATTCTTTTTTCAGACTCTCAGGCTTCTCGTTTCTACTGCCCTGTTTTTGTCCCAGGTTTGTCTCTTCTTGACTGTAATGATCATTTCCAACAACCTCAAAGCTAATTCTTGACTGCTTTCAGTATCTTCTTTCCAGATGTCTTAGAGTAATTGACATAATAAGCATGAGAATTTGAGAACTGGGTGAATTTTTTTCCCACACCCATACCATGGAAGGCATTAAATGAATATAAAGGGCAGTAAGTTTTGCATCTGTGATTTATGTTACTTTAGTAAAAGCTCACCATTTCTTCCATTTGATACTACAAAGCACTTGTTTCAAGATCTTGTATACCAGTACAGTGTAGTCCTCTGCTTGACATTCAGAATTTAATATACACACTTTTTTTTTCTTTTTTTTTTTTTTTGGTGAGAAAGGTTAAGCTATAGTTTCAACCCAACTTCAGAAATTTTCTTTAGAAAGGAGGGGTTTTTATTGCTCTGTGAAATTCATTAAATTAAATGAAAACGCTCTGGATTTTATTTGATTTTGCTCATAACAAATTTTTGACACCTCCTTTTCCCCTTTCCTCAATATTTGAGATTTTTTTTCTATTGTGCATGATAGAGGAATGCTGCTAAGCTTGCGAGTAATTAACTTGAAATTGTTTTGAGTAATTCTGCTTTTTTGGCTTTTTGTACCTAATCAGAATTGATGTGACTGAAGTGCAAATCTTCATAATAATCATGCATTTGCTGGCAGTGATTGGAGGACCACCTTTTTGGCAATCTATGGTAACTGTTCACATTGTGTATCCCACGTCATGCATGTTGTCTTTTGCTTGTGTTTTTCTAATGCAGTATAATCCAGTTAAAAGGTGATATGTCAAATTATTTTGTTCTCTCTGGAAACAAAAAGTCACAGCAACGTTAGGATACAAACTTCTCTTTAGGGCATAGTAAATTTTACTATTTGGAGTTATGTGGTTCAGTAGGTCCATTTCAAGGGTATTTTTAAAGGCTTTCAGAATTATTATTTGTTATCCCATTGTGTAAGTGAGGAAACAGCAGGTAGTGTATCAAGTTATCCAATGAAAAGACTTAAGTCAAATCTTTTATTCTCTTGCTGAACTACATGAGTCTACTAGTTTCTTCATTATATGCTTAAAGCTGAATAATGAATTTTGGTAGTAAATTAATTCTGACCCCAGAACAGAATAAATGCTTATTGAAATCAATGCTATAGGATTGTTTCAACAAGCCGAGACCCTGATTTTCAACCTGACCTGAAATATAATCATCCCCAACAAATACAAGTTCTTTCCCACAAACTTCTGGAGAGAGAATATAATATATATAATACAGGGGGGTCAAGAACACAGGCTGAGGAACCAGACTGCCTGAGTTTGGTACTGGCTTCACTGCTTACTGAGTGAACTTGATCTGTATGTAATTCAGCTCTCTGTGGGTTAGTTTTCTCCTCTTGTAAAATGAGGACAATAGTGCCTGTCTGATAAGGTTATTTTGTGGATTAAATGAGTATATGTAAAGCACTCAGGAACAGTCTCCATCAAATGATAAGCCCTCAAGAGAAGTTGTGGCTGCTCTTACAATTGGAATTTTTCCTACTCCTAAACTAACACAGTTCTTAAAAGTCAGATTAATATTTAAGTATAAGGGAAATTTACTGAGCAAAATTTTCCCATTACCTAACTCATTTAACGATAGTGAATTTGATACTCAAGGAAGTATAATTAACATTCTTCCATAAGTATTTATTACCAGAAATTGCATAATGCCTTTTGGTGACAGGATAGCCTTGTGAAGAGGGAAATGAAGGAATAAAAATAATTGTTAGTCAACCAGGAAAATTCTGAAACCGTTCATGCATAGCATCATTCAAAATCACATCTTTTTTACACATTAGTCTCAAATGCCAGTACTGTCTCTAGTGAAATCCAAGATCTATAGATATATAAACATGTCCTATATATATGTATCTCTCTGTAGATCTTAGGTTTCACTGTAATATTATTACTTTTGCTCTCTTGTAGGCTAAATAGTTAAAAAGTTATAAGTAGCTATAAAACTATTAAATAGGTAATAGTTTTAAACAATTTGGCTATAGAAGAAGGAACGAAAAAGTAGTCTTCTCCTGAAACTATTTTATAAAGCCTAAAGCTTGTCTCTCACTTAATTTTTTTTTATTTCTTGACTATATTATTTTTTTCATAGGCTTTGTGTTTTATACCAAAATATCTCCCCCTCCAAAATTACTTTGCCTCTCTTATACACATATAAATTATCTGTAGTGTTTCAACATATCAATAGCAAAAAATAGAATTTCTGGCTTAATCGTCTAGAAACAGGTCAACATCAGGTATGTATACCTAATTATCCATATCAGCATGGAAGTACAGAAAGCATTGTTGTCAGTGTAGTTGTGTATTCATGCAGGCTATACACATATTCTTAATTTTTAGGTGATACCTGGCAGTAAATTTGCCTCAAGTAAACATGTTCCCTTTTTTAGGATTTATACACAGAATCTGTACATGTGCATAACAGAAATTATTTTTCTTTAAAAGGATCAAATATTTTGTCCTGTCTTTATTGGCAAGATATATACAATCATTCTTTTTTATTTTATGTTTAAAGAAGTAACCTGAGGAACTCTCAGACCCAAGTCTGAATTGGAGGTCCCAGACCCAACAATTCAATTGCAGTATTAGCGAGGTTAGGTTGCAGTAAGGAAACAGATTCCCAGACCTGTGTCTTATTATTAGTATCATTGGTTCTACAGTTACCATCATTAAACTAAAAGGAAAGGACTTGCCCTCTCTGTTTATATTCAGAGGCTTAGAGAAATATTTGTATTCTTTGAGCAGTTTTCAGTGCAGATTCCCATAATTGACTTCATCCACTCTGTTTCTTTTTTTCTTTATACATGACCCCATGAGCTCATGGCTGAATAAGGTGTTTTGAAATGCATTGTCTTAGTTCAGGAAAGACTATACTTCCAGTGCTCTGATTTATTTGTGTGCCAAAATGGAGAGGAGATATTTATTTAGGGCCCAGGAATGAATTTTTTGTCTCTTTTGAGCCTGAGGACATAAAATGGAAATTGCCTTCCAAATCCTCATTTAAAGGCTTTTTTAGATATTTAAGAAAGCAGCTTTATGGTGAAAACAAATAAAAACAGTGTAAATGTCTTCTTAAAGCTGATTTTAGAAGATCAGCTGTTTTACAAAGGTAAGTGATTTCCATCTACTGCTTATTGAGCACCCACTTTCTGCTTTTTTTTTTTTTCCTTCAAAGAGATTTTGTTTGTTTGTTTTACCAGAGGTTGTAGTTAGTTTTTGTTTGTTTAGGTTGGTTAGGATTTTTGTGTGTGTGCTTTGTTTCTTTTCTCCCGTGTTTTAAGAAAAGAAATTATTCTCATGCACAAAAGTTACTATAGTTTATACATTGCAAGAAACAAGACATCATTTGTATGTATTGCTTCTCCAAAAGAATATATCCTTTTGGGATGTCTTGGATCTATCTTCTATCTATATATCACTCTTGAAAAAAGGAATATTACTTTGGAAGGATCCACATAAAATCCCCTGCTGGTTACTTTCACTGACATTCGATTCTTTTAAGTAGTAGTTGATGTGTGTTAAATAAATGTGTGTTAAACCAGGAGACACCTTCTAAAATCCAGTTAAGGCAAATGGTGGGTGTTACTACAGGTGAGGGGCTTTACAGGAAAAGAGCTTCCCAGGTGGCACAGTTGGTAAAGAATCCACCTACCAATGCAGGAAACACAAGAGATAGAGGTTCAATCCCTGGGTCAGGAAGATTCCCCCGGAGGAGGAAATGGCAACACACTTCAGTATTCTTGCCTGGAAAATTGCCATGGACAGAGGAGTCTGGCGGCCTACAGTCCATGGGGTCACAAAGAGTCAGACATGACTGAGTGTACACACAAACATATTACAGGTGAAGTTTCAGAATTCATTAGGTAGAATTCATTAGGTATCTTACTCTTAAACTGAAAGACTTCAGGAGTGCCTTTATACGTAAGTAAATCAGACATTCAGTTCGGTCACTCAGTTGTGTCCGACTCTTTGCAACCCCATGGACTGCAGCACACCAGGCCTCCCTGTCCATCATCAACTCCCGGAGTTTACTCAATCTCATCTCCATTGAGTCGGTGATGCCATCCAACCATCTTGTCCTCTGTCGTCCCCTTCTCCTCCTGCCTTCAATCTTTCCCAGCATCAGGGTCTTTTCAAATGAGTCAGCTCTTTGCATCAGGTGGCCATAGTAATAGAGTTTGAGCTTCAATATCAGTCCCTCCAATGAACACTCAGGACCGATCTCCTTTAGGATGGACTGGTTGGATCTCTTTTTCAGTCCAAGGGACTCTCAAGAGTCTTCTCCAACACCACACTTCAAAAGCATCAATTCTTTGGTGCTCAGCTTTCTTTATAGTCTTTCTCTCACAGCCATACATAACTACTGGAAAAACGACAGCTTTGATTAGATGGACCTTTGTTGGCAAAGTAATTTCGCTGCTTTTTAAAATGCTGTCTAGGTTGGTCAAATTTACAAACAGACATATCCACATTCTTTGGAAGAAAGTATCTAATCTCAAAATGATACTTTCTGCTGAAGTTTAGAAAGCGTGTAAGAGTATTTTATTAGTAACTGAAATTTTGCTTTAATCCAAGCGATTCAACCAAAACCTGTGTCTGTTTTAATTTGTAAACCTGAGGGTTTTAAGATTTTTTTCATCTCTGGAAAATGAGTTACATTAGATTGGTATTATTTGGTTATATAATTTATGGCATGAGTCCAAAGGATTCTGGGCTTCCCAGGTGGCTCGGTGGTAAAGAATTTGCCTGCCCAGCAGGAGTCAGGGGTTAGATCCCTGGGTCGGGAAGACCCTTTGGAGAAGGAAATGGCAACCCACTCCACTATTCTTGCCTGGAGAATCCCGTGGACAGAGGAGCCTGGTGGGCCACAGTCCGTGGGGTCACAGAGTCAGACACAACTTAACAACAACCAGACTAAGCAACAACTTGAGGATTTCACCCTAGCTATAGACCAGACACTGTGACCCAAGTGAGTTTGTATTCTTTCCAGCCGCAAAGACTGAGGACATGCTGAGTAGTATCTGAGGACACACCTGAGATGAAGGTGTTTTTGATACAGCTTTCTGTCAGTGTCTATAAAGCAGATGCACTTTGATCACCTTGAATACATTCCAGGAAGATGAGGACAGAAGGAGAAAGATTGAGAAAGACAGAATGTGTCCACCCTCCTTGATCTTGAGCGAGGTGAAAGTGACAACTCTTTTAGTACTTTTTATAGGTGGTTCAGTTGGGCTGATTTTTAAGGGATCACCTGGTAGGACTTGGGATTCCTTTGACTTTTCCTTCACGTTGCCTCAGATTTTCTTGTAGCTAACTTCCTTTTTCCTTCTTAATGAGGGGGCAAGGTCTGCATAGTATCTCAAAAAGTTCTACATAGAGAGTAAGAGAAAGGGAGGACATCTTAATCTGTTTGACAAGTTTATATTGAGCACCTACAATATCCAGGGTTCTAGAGAATATAAAAATCAACTTAAGCATAAACCTACATTCAGGAGTGAATGTTTTGGTATATATAGCTATCATATATGACAGAAGTGAAGAGGGCTCTAAGAATGTTTATGATTCTTTACCCCAAGTCTGTAGCTTGGTTTGTAGTCCAAGGTTTGCCTGACTTTTCTAATGTTGCTGTTCTTTCAAAGAGCAGAAATTTCCATGATCCTAAACCATTTTCACCAAATTTTAAATACAGTTGTGATGTTATTCAGTTCAGTTGTGGCACAAATTACTGCCACACTCAGTTGTGGCACTAGGTCACTGGCACTCATTTAGCACCCTGGCCCTAATAAAGGCATGCCCCTGTAATGGATTAATGCTTTGCTTCCTTTTAAATCTGAAAGAGTGTAATATTTCCTCCTTTGCCAGGCAGGTCCTTTGTCTCTGGAGGGAAAGGGGAACTAGCCAGAGTATTGAATTTCAGCGAGGTGCATCAGATTTAGATTATGGTACCTTTAGTTTTCTGAGTGAGAGAAAAAAAAAAAATCTCTTGGAGTTCAGAGCACCCTGTGGTGTTGATTTTCTCCTTTATTGAAAAGAAACTTTCAATTTGGACTGTAAGGGTTTGGAGATCAATTAGAGAAAGAAGGGGACAATTTAAGGTGCTCCATAAAGTTCTGGGCTTAATTTTTTAAGTTGACCTATTTCATTTTAGAAAATTAAACACTGCCACAGTGCAACTTGAAATTTGAATAGTTGATTTTCCCATTTTTTAGACTGCAGTTTTGCAAGAGGTCATAAAGTTGTGTAAATAAACTGAGTTCTTGAGAGTTTTAAAGAAACAGAGTATCTAAATGTTTAATTTTGTATCTATCAATCTTCATGGGGTTTTATACACAAAAAGAATGGGCAATGTCACATTTCTTTATTTGATTTTTAAAATATAGGCAGATGGCAGCCCTGAAAAGTATAAACAGCCCTGATTAAAATGTCTTCATTGTAAGAACTCAGTGCCTAATAAACCATTGTTTTGGAATGGTTGCTGTTGGAAAACCAGTGCTTTGGGGATCTTACTTCTAGAGCCATTTTGTTTCTCTCAATAGAATGTATCATTTTACTGTTGCTTTCTTTTCCTTCCATACTAGACAAAACTGGAGAAGTCAGAAAAGCTAAAAAGAGAAGTGGAAAAAGGAAATCTTAAATGATTTTTAAGATTTAGTACAAGTGTGTTTTGTTTTAAATGAGGGTATTGTATTTGCAAGGTTAGATACATGATCTCAATCTCCTCAGTATCCCGCCCCCCCCCCCCCCCCCGACCTTACTTTAGGTAAATCGATTCATATTTTCAGTACACTACAAAAATGTATTACTTACTTCTTCTGGAAAGTAAACTGGTATGTTAAAATTTCGGATACACAGTTATAGAGCTGTACCTGCTTGGGTATGTGTCATATTTTTCTTCCTGTCCCTGAGTTTTCTGTCCTCCAATGAGAACCTCTTGACATCAATATGGGAGTTGTTTTTACTTTTATGTGAAGCTACAATTTGAGATTATCAGAAGCTTCTTGAATATGAATGCTTTCTTAGTTGCTCTCTGCTTTTGCTAGCAGCTTATATCCCAACAGTTTGGAATTGGGACCTCTTTTCAGTAGAACTTTCTTTCGTCTTCCATTCTCAAGTTTGGAGATTTATTTTAATCTTGCTGCACAGTCCTTTATGCTCTGTGCTTTTCTCATAACAACTAATAACTAGTTAAAATTTACCAGTAGAGTTCAAAAAATGCACAAAGAAAAAGGCAAAGCTCACTTCTTTTATAAAAAGGCTAGAAGATAACCTGATTCAGTGTTGCCAGACTTCCGGGATGTGTTAGGTGAACTTAGCTATGACACAGACTAATAAAGTTGAATCTATTTTGTTTCCTTAAGTTGTATCAGGAGTAAGATTAATTTTTATGTAGTCTCTCATTTGTTGAGACTTGTTATGTTGTTTATAATGGAAAGGCTAGGGAAACTTCCATCAGTTTGAGTATTTACAGACTATAGAAGGAATGGAGAATATATCAGAATATGAATCAAATATGTGTTTTGTTATTTTAATCTGCATATGTGTATATATATATATATTAATTGCTCTCTCTCTCTACCTATTGAAGATTCCAGTGCTGAATATTCAAATGAAAATTTTTCCTGCGCTTTGTACTGTAGCAGGGACCATATTTTCCTGTACAAATTACTTCCGTGTAATCTTCACAGGTGGTGTTGGAAAAAATGGATCAACGATAGCAGTAAGTATTTCTTAAGATTTCTGGTTATTGTCTGTGCTCAAACTTGAGTTTTGTAATCTCTGTGCTTGGACTTAGTTTTGTAATTGCTTTGTTTTTTATTTGAATTGTTATTTGAATTAATTAATCACTTGTTAATTGAGAATTTGCACTTAGCGTTATGCTCATATTTGCATATTTTTGTGCATGCACATATACTCACACACACACTTTTAAAAACATGTATCTTTTTTAAAGAGTGCAGTCTATTTTGTGAAATACGTCTGGCCTCTTTAAGTAAAATCAGTTTGTGCCTTACCAGTCCACACTGCTACTTTTCCCTAGCTGTTCTGGTGTTCAATTATAAAAATTGCTGGCTGTCAAGACACCATGAGGTTCTTAGAAGTTTGAGTTGCTCTGTCTTACATCAAGCAGACCCATACAGTATCTGATCAGTATAGAAAACCACTAATTCCTCACTTCTCTTTACTCTAAACAGGGAACAAGTGTCCTTTCTCCTTTCCTCCATATTGGATCAGTAATTACATTAGCTGCAATGATCTACAAGAAATCAGCAGTTCAGCTTTTTGAAAAGCATCCCTGTCTTTATATATTGACATTTGGTTTTGTATCTGCCAAAATCACCAATAAGCTTGTGGTAAGCACCAGTTTTGTTTTTAACTTTCTTCTTATTTTGGTTTTATGGCCAGAGTTTTTATTTCACAGTTTCTTAAGCAATTCTAGAGTTTGCTCTCCTCCAGTCAAAATCTCTTGACATCAACATAGGAGCTGTTTTTACTCTTACATGAAGCTACAATTTGAGATTAACAGAAGCTCCTAAAACCTCTGCAACTCTTCTATCCACAGTTTAATTTGATTATTTAGTTTGTCTCTATTCTTCATTGTCATTCTGTACACTTATGGCTCCTTGTGAAGAGCTCTTTTGGGGGTGATTTAGTTGTCATGGTACATACTTTCAGTGTTATAGCTCTCAAACCCACTCTTGTTGTCATCTTAGTTTTGAACATTCAGCAGATACTGCTAAAATATCAAAGATGATATTTGATCACAATGCTGATTTACTATGTAGCTCACAATTGCTGTAAAATGAAAATGGCTACCTACATCACTGATTCTCTTTTATTCACAGGTGGCACACATGACTAAAAGTGAGATGCATTTGCATGACACAGCATTCATAGGTCCAGCACTTTTGTTTCTGGACCAGTATTTTAACAGCTTTATTGATGAATATATTGTACTTTGGATAGCCCTGGTAGGTTTGGTACTGTGTTCTATTTCATGATTTGGAGGCTGCTTGTTTTCTTGTTTCAGTGGGCCAGTCCTGAGAGATAGATCATATAATGATTTAGCCATCCAGTGGTTAAAACTCCACCTTCCAAAATGAGGAGCTTGGGTTCTATCCCTGATCAGGGAACTAAGATCCCACATGCGATGGGGTGTGGCCAAAATTTTTTTTTTTAATTATAATGGTTTAGAATACCAGAAAACATTTGTGGGACTTCATGAGAGTTCCTTGTGACTTCGTCTTTAGTCATTCTTCTGTATTCTTATTAGTCCTGCCTACATCCTGGCTCATAAATTCCATATTTCCGATTATAAGACAGTAGTAGCTGGCAGACTATACTATGTGGGCCAGTGACCATGTTTTGTAAATAAAGTTTTCTTGAAACATAGTTAAAACCTGTCATTTATATCTTGTGTGTGGTTGCTTTTATGCTTCAGAGGCAGAGTTGAACAGTGTGACAAAGTATGGTCCACAAAGCATAAAATATTCACTAAGTTTGTTGCTCCTTGGTATAAAGGAGATCTGTGGGGAAATTGAGTTATTAAATTGCATGGAATTGAAGATGAATTTCAGGAGAAGAGAAGAAAGTCAGAAGCCTCTCCGGCTTTAGGGATGGCCTGAGCAGGTGCTGAGAATCTAATAATCTCTCTCTTTTTTTTTTTTTTTGTATTTTCCAGGTCTTCTCTTTCTTTGATTTGATTCGCTACTGTGTCAGTGTTTGCAATCAGATTGCATCTCACCTGCATATACATGTCTTCAGAATCAAGGTCTCTACAGCTCATTCTAATCATCATTAATGATGTAACTGATGTTACATAGGAAGCTCATGTTTTCTGCAGGAAAGAATCCAAACATATTAAGGAGAATGGGGCGGTTAAGAACAAGAATAATTTATAATAATCAATGTTGTATAACTTTTACCCTTTGTTATTGATAACACTCCTTAACTATCCCTGTGTGAGAATGGGAATTTCAAGTTCCATCCTGTCAATGTACGTGTTGTCATGCAGGGTTGGCCCAAGAAAGCATGCAAGAAAAAAATGCCATGTGTTTGTAGTTATGCTGGATTCAGAGTAAAATCATCATGGGGAGCAGATCCCCAGTGGTGATTTCTAATGTAGAATATTTGCAGGCCAAAATTGGTTGCTTTATAATTTTAACAAATCATCATCTTCTTAGTGACATTCTTGTTTAGTATCTTCTCAAGCTTTCTTTACTAAGGAGCTCAGCTTGTGGCACAGATATATCCTACTAGCTTATGAGGTGGACCTTGATAAAGATTTTGAATTTGGATTGAAAAGTTTCCTATCTTTACATTGTTGAGGAAGTCATTTTTTTATTGCTCAAGATACGGTATCTCATGGGCTTGGGAAATCCTGTTAGCATGCATAATAATGTGGTAACTTTGTCGATCCATTTTATTTTTTTAAATAAACATATGATCTGAAAGCCAGTCTTTTTTCTCAGTTTTATTCAGTGGAAACATAAACTAAGTTTTAGTGTTGCTTTTTAAATTTTAAAGCAAAATTTATTTTTGTTCTTTAGTAAATAAGGAAATTAAGTCAGCTACCTTGTCAACATGTGTCCTGTGACCTTTCTATTTTGTATAAAACTGTTTAACTTAAAACATGGGAGTGCTATGTTCATTTTCCCTCTTGGTAGGTTTTTTGCTGTTGTTATAGTTGTCACCCTTAAGATTATAAGTCTTTTTTTTCCCTTTGTAAAAAGAGAACCATAATCTTAAAAGCCCAAAGGAGTTTAGTAGGTTTTTGTTGTTCCTCAGCTGCTAAGTCGTGTCTGACTCTGTGACTCCATGGACTGCAGCACACCAGGCTTTCCTGTCCTTCACTGTCTCCTGAAGTTTGCTCAAATTCACGTCCATTGAGTTGGTGATACCATCCAACCATCTCAGTGTCATCCCCTTCTCCTCCTGCCTTCAGTCTTTCCCAGCATCAGGGTCTTTTCCAATGAGTCAGCTCTTCACATCTTATGGCCAAGCTATTAGAGCTTCAGCATCAGTCCTTCCAGTGAAAATTCAGGTTTCCTTTAGGATTGACTGGTTAGTAGCTCTCAGAATCTCAAGCCCTTCCCCGAGGTATAAAATAAGAGAGGCTTGTGCCTCTCTTGGAAATTATTAAATATTTGCACTCTCCTCTGGCTACAAGTTTGAAACAAAAAACAGGTGTCCTCTATAACCATAAACCAGATCTGTTTCTTTTGTGTATAGTTCAATTGCTTGAATGAAGAGGCAAACAGCAAAGGTTTAAACTATTGACTAAAATGAGGTATCTTATTGATTATTATTTATACCCTGTTTCCATAATCATGGATACACAATAGCTGCGCTGCTTTGCCTGGCAACCAGAACTCTTCCTTGCACTTCTAGTGATTCCATCAATTCCATGTAATCTTGATTAGCAGTGGTAGTGAAACCTTTCATTTCTTTGCTAGAATGTAGCTGGAAAAGGAAGTTTTCACTATCTTTGCTTGCTAGCAACTTCTCCAGCATCTGGGGTAGAGAAGTTCATACAAGAAAATGCTAGGGCAGATCAAATGTCACAAGGTAGGACAAAGGAAAAAAGAAGGAAGGATAATTAACTTTGGCAGATTTACATCATTGTCTTATGAGATAGACACAGCAGATGTTAATTGCCTACAGTGGAAACTGAGGTTTGGAGAAGCTAAATGGCATACCAGTGTCACAACAGTTGTTCCTTTTCCAAATGGAGACTAGAATCCATATCTTCTGAATCCTGGTCCAGCATTATCTTCTACACTATACTAGGTTTTAGTGAGTTGAAGCTACAGACTGAGGTGCTAGAATCTTTTTCAGCATAATGGAAATCTGGAAGACATCTAGGTATTTGGTGTGTGCTTCCTTCAGCTCTAGATAACCATCAACATGAGATCAAGTTATGTTTATAGTAAACCTCAGTTGGTCCTGATTCTTGTGAGCATATTATATACCTGTTTAGGTGTCAGAATCAGCTGAAGAAATTTTAAAAATATGGGTTCCCATGTCCTATCTTTCATGATGATTTGGAAGGTTAAAGATGGAGCCTCATATTTTCATAAGCTCCCCAGGATTCCAGTCCTGAGGTACAACTAGGATTAGGAACTACCTAAAAAAGTGCACTGACTCTTGGAAGCTGTGAAGAGTAGCAGCCTAGTTTGGGGTGGTATGTACACAGTAGGACATGTGCCACCTGCAGGAGGTGTCTGTTCCCCTGAAATGAAATTATATTGACTTCAATTCAGTAGCCCCAGTCTCCTATTCCATCCTGCAACAACATTTGTGTTCTCTGTACAGAATCCAGGGGCCTCTGAGGGCCACATGCACATACACACATTAAAAAGATGGAATTTTTGAAAAACAGGATGCTTCCTAAAAGTTTCCCATCCCTTACAGTATTTAAACAGAAGCTGTCAGTAGAGATTCAGAGGGAAGAGGGACCAAGTGACTACTAAACTTTGGACTTTTAAGATGATGATTCTCTTTTCTTCCGAGAGAAAAAATGTCAATGAGGAGATCCCTCTGCCCTTAGCCAAAGAGTTGAACTGGCTTCTCACAATAATGAAGTTGGAAGTAGGATGTCTAAAACGGAAAGTTCCAAACTGGAAGTGATGGGCAGACAGACCTATTGATGGAAACAATGTAGTGTTCTTCACTGGCTTCTTCAGCTGAGATTCCTACTGTCAAGTTACTCTCAACTTCAAATATTTCATGAAAGGCTAGCAGCCTTTCGTCCCAGGATTCTGGAAAGCACACCTAACTTGGACCAACAACCGCTGCTGTATCCTCTACTGCTGCTGTTTTTACCAGTATCCCTCACCTTTCCTAGCAGAAGGCTCTCCTGATGCCCATTATTCTACTGCTTCAGACATAGCACCAGAGTTCTGGGCACCGTTGCCAGATCCTCCACATCTAGTCCAGTTTATTCTCACATCTCTTGCCTTGTTTTGCTGGTTATCTCTCCATAGTGGAAGCCAGAGATACACGTGTAAAGAGCAAGAAGATTTTCATCTTTATTCTTATCCTCACATGTCCACAGACCTCTGCTTATGTGTGAAGAAACTGAGCATTTGGGTGACAGCTTGTTTCTCTGTGGAGGATTTTGTAATAGTGCTTCCTGGGAGAAGGCAGTTCCAGAAACTTCTGGGGCTCTACACCACCTCTACTACTGTCTCTTGCCCTGTGTCACCTCTGTAGAAAAGGCAGCTATGTGCCCAGCTCTGTGGGCATAGAGGTCAGAGCCTTCCAAAGTCTCGAGAAAGCTGATTTCAGGAATCCCAAACGCCAGACACCAACCTGAGGCGAGACCTGGTTACCAGGACTCGGAAGAAGGCTGTGGATTCTATTGACTGAGAGCTTCACATCCTACCGTGCTGGCAGGGGTCAAAGTCCACTACTGGCCTATAGGTCTAGTCACTCCTGTTCAACACGGCTCTTACTTCACAGTCTTTTCCTTTGGTCTCTTCTGTTTCTTCTGTTCCTCATATTCAAGTATTTTCTTTTGGAAATAATCTGTGGTGTTAGAGATACACCTGTTAGAGGCAGCTAATCTGGCCAGGCAGGCTAAGATGAGCTCAAGAACAAGGGTCAGAGATACTCTCGGTGTCTGCGGCCCATGCTCCCTCACTATAGCCACATTCCCCCCAAGGTCCCCATGTCATCCTAGGCCTTTGTAGATCTAGGTATTCGATTAGGCTCCTACGGGGGCCTAAAATAGAATAATTAGTAGGAATTAGCTCTAGACTAAAACAGAAAGCAAAGGTCCTCCTACTGGCTGATGGACAGAGCAACGTCTACAAAACGTCAGCCTCGGGGCATTTTCTTGGGCTTCAGGATCTTTCTTTCCAACCGGGTTTGATAAGATCACAGCTGTTTTAGTGAACCTCTCTTAGAAGTGCTTTTCCCTCCCCTCCTAGGACCACTCCTGACTTGGGGTCAGTGACCATCTGTGCTTGGGCTGATAGGGAGCTCTCACTGCGTACCTGCAGGAGGGTTCTTGCTCTTTTCGGCTTCCTGGATGAAAAGGGAGAAGAGCTGGGTCTTCACAAATTTCTTCACAAACCGGCGGTTGGCCTTGGAGGTCAGAGCCTTATAGAAGGCCCGTTCTTGGAAGCGGCCTTGCCCATTCGCCTCCCGCTTGATGTAGGAAGCATAGTGGCCCACAGTCTTGACAAAGAACTGCACAAAAGGCCTTGAAACGTGCTCATTGATTTGCTCAGAAGCTGCAGGGGATATAAAGAGGCCATCTCAGGGGCAGCAGAAGGATGAAAACTTATCTGTAAGCGGCTTTCATCGCAGGCTGAAAGCTCTTGGGCAAGGGGTGGGGTGAGGCAGGGTTCATAATTACTGGTTGATGAAAATGTGAGACTGGAGATGGGGTCACCATTGCTTAGGAAGAATAAAATCTCATACTTGCCCTTCAGGATCAAGGCCTCTGGGACTAGCCCAGGACTGTGGAGTGAATTTCTTTTAGTTCTAGAAGGGAATTTTGGGGAATCATGTCCTTAAACTTTGGAGAAAGCCAGAATAAGAAGGACCTGGGACTTACTCCGTGACTCCTTGATGCCCTGACCAAGAGATTCTAAGATGTCATCCTGAAGCTTGGGTGGTAGGATGTCTTTTTCATCACCAACCTAGGAGAGGACAGAGTCAGCTCAGAGGTCAAGCAGTCAGGGAGCAGGTGTGAAGTGTTGAACGAGAATGTGAGGCATGAATTCTATACCCCATTCCACCCCCAAATAATTGGCCACATACAAGAGAAACAAAAGAAGCTTCAACTCCAAACACTAGGAAGTCTCTGTCCCTCTGGTACTCGGACTATGTCCTTACTCTAAAAGCACTAACACTGACTGCCTCATGAAGTCACACTCTCCTTGAGAGAGATGAAGTCTTGTTAGCATACTTCAAGTTTTTCAAAGTAGTGGAACTTTGATGAGCCAAGAGTAATTGAGTTGGTTGTGGGTCTGCAAGGGATCTGAACCCAGACACTTACTGACATTAGGAAGGTTCCTTCACAAAGATTCACCAGCAGGACCTGAAATAAAAGCGGGAAAGTTTGTTTTCTCCCCCTTTCTCTGTTTCTGCCTGTGACTGTACCTTTCAGCCCAAGTAACAACAAAATCAGCATCTTCAGTTCTCATTTCCTGTCTGATACACTCCTTTCTCACCACCCACTCTTTCCTGAGAAAAGGGCTGAGGGTATAGGAAGCAGGAAATAGGGGAGAGAGCTAAGGAAGATGGGGTATACAATATGGGTAAATTGAAGCCAGTCACTCCCTTAATAAAAAAGCATTGATCAAAGCAATAACTTCTATGTATGAAGCCTCAAGCGCATGGCACACACTGTGCTTTGCACATCTTATCTCATTTAATCTTCCCAATGCTCCTGTAGAGGCAGCTACTGTGCCTGTTTTGCAGGTGAGGAAACACCCAAAGAAGTTAAACTGCCTGAGGTGATACTGCTAGCAAAGATTAGAACCAGTTTCCAAGCCTGGATTGTGTTGTCCTTGGTAGTGCATCATTCTTCCTACAGTTCTTCAGTTCCCTTCCCTCTGGTGAGTTTTAGGACAGGGATGGGCATCTTTTGATTTTTTTTTTTTAATGCTTACAACAACTTTATGTACAATTGCCTAGAATTCCATTTTTAAAACTCCCACAGGGTTTCCCTGGTGGCTCAGTGGTAAAGAATCTGCCTGGCAGCACAGGAGACACGGGTTCGATCCCTGATTCAGGGAAGATCCCACATGCCACAGAGCAACTGAGCCCATGTGCCACAACTACTGAACCCAGGTGTTGTAACTACTGAAGCCCGCATGCCCCCCGCCCTCTGCAACCGCAAGAGAAAAGCCCACACAGGAATGAAGACCCAGCACAGCCAAAAATATATAAATAAAAATTATTAAAACTCCCACAATAGCTTTGGACCTTCAGCAGGGAAGAGTGAGAGGAGAAAATAAGCCTGGGGTCAACAGGAGGAGGGACGGAAAGGCAGTAATCATGTGTTTGTAGGGTGCAGGTAGGACAAGCACAGGGCTGAAACTTGGGCGACCTGAGTTCTAGTATCAGCTCCATCACTTCCTAAGGGGCCTTCAGTCTAGACTGGAGAAGACCAATACACATCCTGCCAGTTAGATTCCAACCTACAGACCTGCTTCTTTGAGACTCAGAGAATTTTCAAATCATTGAATTAGTTTCCAATATTTAAATTAAAAAATTTCACACAGAATTTGGATCCAGGGGTTCTATGGAAAAGTCAGGAGCTCTAACACTGATCCACATTCAGAGGGAACTGAGTTACAGCTGCCTCCTTTAGGCAAGGCAGGTGCTCAGCAGTTTATCATGATCCCCCAAAGCTTGTGTTGGCCATTTAAATGCCTGCTGGGTCCCTCTTTTCCGTTTGTGACCTTGGTCTCGACAAGAGGATGAGTGATCCCTCCATGCACCCTTCTTCCAAATAAAAAGAAGAGAGAAATAGGAATGTGTGCCAAAAGACAGAGCAGGCACTGTAATTATCCATCATCAGGGGAGAAAAGTTGAACTAGTTCAGGCGTGAAACCACTTGTATACATACACTCAGATGCCTTCATTTAGGGCAGGCTGTTCACTTTGTGGGCTGGGAGGTAAGAGCGTGTGTAAAGAATTTCTTTCTGAGGTTGTTCCCAGAAATCTTTCCAGTACTTGAGTATATTACTGTCTGTCCAAGGAGCCCTTCCAAAGAGCTGACCTGGGAGTCAAGGAATGTCCCATCTCTCTCCCTGACCTATCTCCCTGCCCTCTCCCATCCCTACCCCCTGACCATTTCATCAGCTGGGGCTCTTGGACAGCACAAGCTGGAGTCTGACTAGCCTTGGGGTGTCTCCCCGCCAGGCCACTGGGGGAGGACTCACAGCGTTCAAGAAGATGGCGCTGCGGCATCAGGAAGTTTCATAACTTCTGGGATTGGGACACTTATTGAGTGGTATTACTAAACGTGGGGCTGATACTCTGTCCCAGTTAGTCACAAGGCAGAGGTTGGCTCAAAGGGCGTGTGTACTCAGCAGTTCTGAGGAGGGCAGGGCGGGCTGGGGAGGCAAGGAAGGGAAACAGCCTGCTTCTTTACTTCCCAGCAGCACTCTGCGTAAGAGGTGCTTTGCTTCTATCTCTGCTAGATTCCGGGATTGCCTGTGCAGCCTCGATAAGTAGGTTGAGCTCTCTGGACCTTGGTTATTTCTTACGTAAATGGAGGAAGTCTTCCCACTAGGGCTGGTCGCATGCCTCCAGTAGCTTACTTCAAGGCTCTGCCTCTTCCCTTTCTGTCTACACAGAGGGAGTCGATGGTTAACCAGACCAACCTCAGTAGCTCTTTTGGCTTGAGATTATAGTAATGTGCTATCTCTTGAAAGTCTCTATTGACAACCCAAGCAAAGCAGAAGTTGTTCTTCCAACACTGGAGGTAGGTTTATGTTATTAACACCCATTCTCACCACTGAGTTCTTTGGTGTATCTGGGGGCACTGCCAAGACACAGGAGGCCGACAAAATCAAAGGGGATTTGGACCTATATCCTCATTAACCAACTGAGCTCTGAGCTAATTGGAAGGATGACCCCTACTACCAAAAAATATCTGCATTTTCAAGACTCATTGTTTCCAGGAAGACTGTTCATTCACTTCCAAGCAATGCGAATAAATTCCAGTGGGGTGTGTGTTGTACAGACCAGCTGTGCTTGTCCATTCAGAAGAAAAATGGGACACCCAGGGCCTGCTCACTAGGACTAGCTGGCCTAGTACAGTTGGGTGAAGCCCAAATAAGCCATGTGTTGCCCCTTAAGTCCAAAGGGAAATCATTCAGAGAAGGGAGCACTTACTGAGTATCAGCTATATGTCAGGCACCAGGCTAGGTGCTTTATGCTGATTTTTCCCCCTAGGATCCTTAGGGTCTAAACATTGCCCCTCCAGTTTTATAGATGAGGAAGCTGAGGCTTAAAGAGGTTAAGCAACTTGCCACAAAATCACACAGCTATTAGCAGCAGAGGTGGGATCCGGATCCAGGTCTGCCTGGCTCCAAATCATGCCCCCTTCTTGCTGCATCGTACCTCTTCCATGGGGCTGTCCAAAACCTCCTGCCGGAAGCGCATTTGGACTCCAACCATGAAGGGAGTAGGGCAGCAGACAGTTCCCAGCAGGCTCTCGGGGACCACGGGGATGTAGGTGTGGGCCCAGCTGAAGGGGTAGAGCAGCGCGGCAGTAGCGTGGATGCACTGAGACAGGGTGCTGAGGACAGGGCACAGAGAATGAGAGTCAGAGCGGCCGGCCAGGCCCCCAGCCCGCGCCGCCTCCCCACCGCCCGCCAAGGCAGCAGCTGCTCCTGCTGGCTGTGCCGGAGCCGCAGCAAGTCTGGGAGCCATGCCGGTCTCAGCTACCCGATGCTGAGGGGAGGGGTGGAAACCAGAAGAGGCTGAGGCTCCCCTCGTCAAGTATGGGGCCTCTATGTGATTCTTCTTTTCCACTGGGGGTGGGGGTGGGGGTGGGGGTGGAGGGAGTGTCTTTAAAGAGAGGAGGAGGAAGAAGAAATGTCTTCCTTCTATAAGGTCATTGATCATTGATGGAGCCCCTTCTCTATGTTCATCACTGGGTTTCGGATGTGGGTACCAGGAAGCAAAAGACTGGCCCTGCTTTTAAGGCACTCAGTGTAGTTAAGGAGACAAACACGTAAACACTGGGGTGTAGCAGAGAGGTCAAGTCTATTTCCTCCTTATCTGTCATCCCCAGGCTTTAACTCTCACGGCTCCCTCTGACCACTCATGGTTATTTAAACTTATCAGGTTGGTGCCTGAGCTTGCTTGGGAAATTCCTGGATTCCAGGAACCTCTGACCAGCAATTCCCACCCGGAAAGTCCCCCTGAGAGGACTCCTCCACCCTTTCCAAGGAAGCATTCCCTGTATAATTATTGCCTAGGTCACAACTCAGACCCAAGTCCCCTCATGCCCCACTCCCATCTACCCTTCCAACACACACACCCTCCCTGTCTTCTCTATTCTCCACTAGCTTTCGTGGCTCTTCATTTCTCCAAACTGCCCCAAAGCCAAGGCCAACAAAAACACAGATGCGGAAACCTTGTTTCAATTCTTGGTATCAAGCTAGCACTTCCTGAGTTAGAAAGATGGAGTCTCCGAGAGTCTAGCCAAGGCTTAGGCTGACTGGAAGTCCCTTTCCTGGCTGAGCAGCAGAGATCTGAAATACTCAGTGTAGGAAGGAAGTGGGGAGTGGTGGGGTTTCCCTGAAGAAAGTTAACGCCTGAGAGGTGAGTCCTGCCAACCTCTGCCCGTCTCCAGGCCAGCTGACGCCTGGAGTCCCCTTCACTTTCTAAACATTGATCCTAAGGGGCAAAAGCCAGAATCCCAGCTCTAGCCACAAGAGAAACTTCTCAATTCCCTACAGCAGCAGTCCCCAAACTTTTTGGTACCAGTAACCAGTTTCATGGAAGACATTTTTTCCACGGACCGAGGGCTGGGATTGCGGGGGAGGGGTGGGATGGTTTCAAGATGATTCAAGCACATTACATTTATTGTGCTAATGATAATCTGTATTTGCAGCAGGTCCCCAGCATTAGCACCACCACCTCAGTTCTACCTCAGATCATCAGGCATTAAATTCTCACGAGGAGCATGCAACCTAGATCCCTTGCATGCACAGTTCACAGTAGGGTTTGTGCTCCTATGAGAATCTAATGCCGCCACTACTCTGACAGGAGGCAGGGCTCAGGTGGTAATGGGAGTTGATGGGGAGAGGCTGTGAGTACAAATGAAGCTTTATTCGGCTGCTCACCTCCTGTTGTGTGGCCCAGTTCCTACCAGGCCATGGAACAGTGCCTGGGGGTTGGTGATCCCTGCCCTACAGGGCCAAGAGTGGAAGAGCTATGTCTAAAGCAAGAGATTTACACCACTTCCCACAAGGATTAGCCCACAACTGGTGCCTTCTGGGGCTTCCCAGGGGGCACTAGTGGTAAAGAACCCACCTGCCAATGAAGGAGACAAGAGATGCGGGTTCTATCCCTGGGTTGTGAAGATCCCCCAGAGGAGGGCCTGCCAACCCACTCCAGTATTCTTGCCTGGAGAAGTCCACAGACAGATGAGCCTGACAGGTTACAGTCCATAGGGTTGCAAAGAGTTGGACATGACTGAAGCAACTTTGCATGCACACACGGTGCCTTTTTGGTTATCACAGGTTTTTACACAGACCCCACTGCCTGTCCAAACTTCCTTTCCTTTAAAACCCATGACATTCACCTGACTCTCTGGTCTAAAATTTGGGTCCCTAAAGTGCTTTCCTTCTTCTTTCCTAAAAGATAAAACCAGGATTTTCAGCTCAACATAAGCAGCTTTCTCCATCCCCAGACATAAATGAGTCAACCTTCTACTGTCTTAAAATTTTTCTCCTGTCTCCACCTGTCACGTATCTCCCCATGTCTTAACCAGACTTGAAGCCTCAAAGAGGCAGAGGCCAAGATATGATAGTATTCTGCTTCAACTATACACTATACAGGGATATACTCAACTATGAAATTATTATTAAGAAAAACAACTGGCATGTACCAGTGTGGGCCTGGCAGGGCGCTAGGTACCTAAAGTGCATTACTTCATTTAATCCTTACTACGCCCTTATGAGGTAGGTACAGTCAATCTGTCCAATTACAGGTAAGGAGATCATGACTTCAAAAAGTTAAGAAACTAGGGACTTCCCTGGTGAGTCAGTGGTTAAGACTCTGCACTTCCAATGCAAAGGGTACAGGTCCAATCCCTGGTCGGGGAACTAAAGATACCACATGCCCATGCATCCAAAAAATCAAAAAAAAAAAGAAGTTAAGAAACTAACCTAAGGAACACCATGTTGCTAAAGGTAGAAGAAAAGAACTTGAATTGTTCTGCTGATTTCAACACCTAAGCTTCCTTTCAATCAGGAGTAAGTCTATATCCCCTTTAGGTCTAGGACCATTTTTGTTTGTCTGTATCTCCCTGATGCTGGGCATCTGGTTAACAGTTGACACACATTAAGTATTTGTTGAATGAGTAAATAAATGGACAAATGAGGTGTGTTTGCCACTAGGATAATGGGTTTGGCCTCCATACCATTATACATACACCTTCCTGCCCTGTCTTCCTTCAGCCTTTCAGGAGCAGAATCCTCTCTGCATCCACCCTAACTGGTTTTCTCCTAGGCTGTACAAGAACGCTTCATGCCCTTCTCAGAGCTAAATCACAAACCTCCTTCAGGCTTAGGCAGCGTTTGGAGACAGGAACAGGGAATTACAACAGCTATTACAGCAGCTATTTTCTAGGCTTCAGTGCAGATCAAGACAGTGTGGAGGAAAGGTGAGCACACAGGTCCTAGAGCCTGGGTTCCTTGGAGAACCATCCCGTCTGCCCCCTGGAACCCAGGGATGCCAGCCAGTTCAGGGGACCTGCTCAGTAACTGGACTAACCTGAGACCTTCTGCCAAGAAGATGATTCTTCTTTCCAGCACTGCAGAGGCAAAGATCTGAAGGATCTGCTCAAAACTGAGGCAACGCATGAGAGACCTAAAATCCACGTGCTCTAAGTGGGAATCCAAGGGACGCGTCAGGGAAATGAACTGTCGGGAAACCAAAGAGAGAGGCTGTTACCACACTGAAAAATCACACAAGCCCCAGAAAGCTGGGTCTCTACCTACCTCTGCCCTATCCTCCCCAAAAGAGTATATCTGATCCTACCTCCCAGCTACCAAAAAACCATCCATGGTTCCCCTCTGCTCTGAGGGTAATGCTGCTGTAAACGTCTGTGTGGCTCACAACACCCTGCCTCCCTCACCTCCTCCACCACCTTGCTTCCCCACATCAACTTCCTTCTGTTCCTTCAGCATGCCTTCCTTCTTTCCTGCCTGAGATACTTCCCTCCCCTAGGTTGCCTTTCATTTTAAAAATTACTTATTTTGTTTTATTTATTTATTTGGCTGCACTGAGTTTAAGTTGCAGCATGTGGAAACCAGTTCCTGGACCAGGGAATGAACCTGGGCCCCCTGCATTGGCAGCATGGAGTTTTGGCCACTGACCACCAGGGAAGTCCCTCATTCTTTTTTTTTTAGTTAGTTAACTAGCTTTTCATTGAAATGTAGTTGACTTACAGTATTTTCTCTCTTCATCGTATCCTCCTTTACATCTTAGACGCCTTCCTTGGCCACATAATGCAACACAAATTTCTCATCATTTTCTCGTGTAGCATCCTGTTTTCTTTTCCTTCCATCAATATAATTTTCAATGATCTATTTATTTGTGTGTTTATTTATTTAAGTCTGTCTCCCCCACTAGACTTTTAGCTCCATGAGGTCAGGGACCGCATTTGTTTTATTTACCATTTTGTAGCCAGAATCAGCTAGCTCAAAACTCAACAGTTTTTGAAAAACTGAGATCATGGCATCTGGTCCCATCATTTCATGGCACATAGAGGGGGCAAAAAAAAAGGAAACAGTGACAGACTTTATTTTCTTGGGCTTCAAAATCACTGTGGACAGTGACAGCATCCATGAAATTAAAAGACGCTTACTCCTTGGAAGGAAAGCTATGACAAACCAAGACTGTATTAAAAAGCAGAGACATCACTTTGCTGACAAAGGTCTGTATAGTCAAAGCTAGTATTCATGTATGGATGTGAGAGTTAGACCATAAAGAAGGCTGAGCACCAAACAATTGATGCTTTCGAACTGTGGTGTTAGAGAAGACTCTTGAGAGTCCCCTGGACAGCAAGGAGACCAAACCAGTCAATCCTAAAGGAAATCAGTCCTGAATATCCATTGGAAGGACTGATGCTGAAGCTGAAACTCCAACACTCTGGCCACCTGATGGGAAGAGCTAACTCACTGGAAAAGAACCTGATGCTGGGAAAGATTGAGGGCAGGAGGAGAAGTGGGTGACAGAGGATGAGATGGTTGGATGGCATCATCAACTAAATGGATGTGACTTTGAGCAAACTCAGGGAGATAGTGAAGGACAGGGAAGTCTGGGGTGCTGCAATCCATGGGCTTACAAAGAGTTGCACATGACTTAGTGACTGAACAACAACAACGAGCCAGAAAATAGTACAACTTGGGGCATAGCAAGCCTTCCACACTTATTTTTTGAGTAAGTGAAGACACCTAACCCCTCCCCTTATTCTGATATGAGAAAGCCAGAGTTCAGACGGACACACAGAATATCCAGAATACCAGGGGTCAAGACTGGGATTCTTAAAACAATTTTCTATTTGCTGCTTTGTCTGTTTAGTGTCTTAAAGCAATAGCATCCCCAGTATCGAATGGGTGGGGACTCAGGGGTGGGGATGGGTGATAAAAAAAGACAGGTGGAAGCCATAGGTAGAGATAAAAGACAGACACAGGGAGATAAGGGAGGTAATGGTGAAGAGCAGCAGTTTGGGAACTGGAGGCAAGGGCCATTCTAGTACTGGGAGCTTCCACTTAGATAGTTTATTATTTAAAAAAAAAAAGATCTTGGTTACTTGAACAGTAACTAGGTCTTTGTGAGCATCAGCTTGAGGAAATCAGAGAACTGGGGTTTGACTTTAAGTTCTGCCAATAATTTTAGCCAAGTGCCAGGCCCTGCCTAGCTCAGTTTCTTGGAATGTTAAGCTGGTAAATGGGCACACTGTGATGGAAGGTGCTGCTGGAACCCGCCCCCTCCACCCAGGGAGGGTCTCCCCTGTTTTGCTCACCCACCTCAGTGCCTGAGTCAGGGATGAAGCTCTTGAGGGTGACAGTCTTCCCAGGAGCGGGGAAGGTTGCCTCTCGGAGGCCCTGCATGAATGGGTAGATGATGGCCATGGAGATCTGATGTCTCTTTTCCACTTCATCCAGGATCTGTATGGAAAAGAACCACAGGAGACATGACTCGAGGAATGCTCCCGGGCTGCCAGCCAAGATTGCATGTGTAAGGTTGCTCCAGCCAATCCTCAACTGGGTTCTTTCCTCTTGGCAGAAACCAGTCTGCTGTTTATCTCCTGCACAAGACCTGATGTTTTTCTTAGCCTTCTTCTTTTCATCCTCCCTCTACCAATTCATATTCTTCCCTTCTCCTAACATCAACCTGAACTACCTTCCCCAGGAAGTCATCCTGGAGTAAACTCCTCATTCATGATGGTACCATGTTCATTTGTGCTAGCTGGGGCCTAGAAGCTGGGCCTTTTGGGTGCCACTCTGACCTCCAACTTCTACTGGAGACTCCCCAGGGTCAGGAACGGCCTCCATCTGCAGAGCCCTACACAGATGAACCATCTGCCCAAGCAAAGGCTGATGGAGTTTATTGCCTTCATCCCCCAAGAGGTCTGTCTGGGGCAGAGCACACTGATGCCCTTTCCTGGCCACAAACACATGCCCCACGGGCTTCCCTGGTTGCTCAGTTGTAAAGAATCCATCTGCCAATGCAGAAGATGCGAGTTCGATCTCTGGGTCGGGAAGATCCCCTGAAGAAGGAATGACAACGCTCTCAGTATTCTTTTCTGGAAAATCCCATGGACAGAGGAGCCTGGTGGGCTATAGTCCATGGGGTTACAAGAGAGTTGGACACAACTAAGCGACTAAAACAACAACAAAGAAGAAGAAAAAGACAGGCCCCATCCATCCTAAAGGACTCCTTTCTAACCCTGGCTCAGGTGTACTGGCACAAGACCTCAACTTCCCCTCTATCCTGGAAGGAATCAGAGGGAGTCCCCCAAGCCCCACTGTATAATTGTCTTTATATTTGTTTAGCATTCTGTCTTTTCCATATATCATGTTACCTGCACCTCACATCAACCCATGAGACAGGAAGATGAGGCATCATTACATGCATTTGACAGATGACGAATCTGCAACTCCCAATTTCTAACCTGAAGTTCTTCTCATGTCCTACTTCAGCTGCTTTCTTACCTTGCCTAGACTCGGGGGCAGTGAACTCTCTGCAGGGGAGACAGTCTACTAGGTTCAGTTCCGACTTTTCTCTAAAGCCAGGTGAAGCCCAAGCCCCTCTCTGCCTGAGTGTCTCCAGAGTGCCTCGCCTGACCCCAACTGTGGGGGACGAGCACCTGGAATCCAGGCAGGGCAGGCAGCCAGGGCAGAGCTGGAGGCCAAACAGGCCCGACAGGACTGGCGGAATCCTGGTCCACCCTTACCTTGGAGAACAAGCCGAAGCAACCAATGCAGCTGATGATGCAGTACACCCTGGGGAGGCGAGGACCACGGCCGGCGGGCTGCGGAGGGACAGACAGGCTCCTTCAGTGCTGCAGCCTCTCCAGGGCCTCTGCCCAACTGTGGCTGATGGGACACAGGGCTGGGGGCTGGGGCTGGGGGATCCCACTCCTGGGACAGGCAGCTGGGAAGGCCAGAGCAGACACAGAAACCAAAAGACCATGGCCTTGAGGGGGCTGGCTGGCTTACGGGCAAGCACTGCCTCTGTTAGCACCCACACCCTCAGAGGTTGACAAGGAGGCAGCAAGTGTGTTGTAGAGACAAGAAACAGCTAGGGAGGGTGTGCCATAAACGTGACTTGGGGAGACCCAAGGATTGAACCTCATGGTCCCAATCCCAAGCTAGGCTCTGGGAGGGCCCAGGGGCCAAGGCAACAAGGCCTAGATAGAGATAGTGGAGAGCAGACTAGAATGAAGCCTCCCACAGAAGGGAACGGTTGAAGGCTGGGAAGAGTAAAGACGCAACCCCAGCAACAAAGGTGCCCTGGGTGGGTGATGAGGGCTGTGTGTCTCCGTTCTTGTGAGGTTGCACAGGGCACTGGCAAGGCAGCAGGTGCTGGGCTGTGCTCTCTCTTTGCAACTGCCTCTGCCAAGGAGCCTTGGCTTTTGCAGCTGAGGCTGGAGCAAACCCAGCTGTGGGGCAGAATAGGATGCAGAGAGGAGGGGGCGTTCTGAGCTGCACAGACCAAGAGGCGCCTGCAGTATCCAATCTTCCTGCTCCCGTCCACATTGGTCAGAACGAACGAGAAGGTCTCCCTGAGGAAGAGCAAACAAGGGCCTGGTTTGCACTGGGTTCTAAAGCAGGAAGGTGGTCGGCATCAGGGGGATGAGCGGGGAGAGGAGGGCCACGGGAGCTGCTAAGTGATCCTGAGAGTAATCATAACAGCGGTCAGTTTATGTAAAGTGCTTACTGGTGTCAAGCTCTAAATGCATCATCTCATTTAATTCTCAAAACGACTCTTTGAGGAACGTTCAATTACTAACCCGACTTTAAAGATGAAGAAACTGAGACTCTGAGGGAGTATTTCTTATCCAAGGTCACTCAACTCATAGTGGTAAAGCCAAAATTTGAGCTCAGGCAGTCACATTCCAGGACTTATGGTGTAAAGGGCTTTGCCATGTAAGGATCTCATTCATGACCAAAGGACTTCTTTGGTGTCCATCTTTTGCGAGAGGCAGTCAAAACACAGTGACAATCACTTCTAGGAGAGGAAGGAGAACCTCACCCTTCTACTGGACAGAAGGGACTGGTTAACCTGTTTAGTTAACGTCTCTTGCCTCGAGAGACCCCAGGCAAGATATTCAAAAACAAATCAAATCCAGTCCCGCCCCAACAGGAAGGAAGCTGGTGAGAAATCCAGATGAAGGGGGCACAGGAATCACGTGGTTCACACTGTCCCCTTCTCCTCCAATCTCAGGCCCCTGCCCAGAGCCAACCCATTACCTGGGACACTCAGTGAGTGGGGCCCGCTCGTTCCCATCTGGGAAGCAGAACAAGGGGATGGCTCCAAGCAGCCTCTCCTCCTCCTCTTGTTGACCCCGAAGCAAGTTCTCTCGCTATGAGGAATAGGAAAAGAGACAGGTGGGTGTGGAGGTAGGAGCAGGTGGAGAGGGCTTAGGGTCTGGCGAGCTTCTTTGGAGGCTCCTAAGCAGTTTGAGAAGGCAATGGCACCCCACTCCAGTACTCTTGCCTGGAGAATCCCATGGACGGAGGAGCCTGGTAGGCTGCAGTCCATGGGGTCGCTAAGAGTCGGACATGACTGAGCGACTTCACTTTCACTTGTCACTTTCATGCATTGGAGAAGGAAATGGCAACCCACTCCAGTGTTCTTGCCTGGAGAATCCCAGGGACGGGGGAGCCTGGTGGGCTGCCATCTATGTGGTCACACAGAGTCGGACACGACTGAAGCGACCAGAAGCAGCAGCAGCGAGCAGTCAGAATAAGCTTTTCCACTGGTGTGCAACTTAAAGCTTGCCTCTGTGCCCATCACTGCATGCAGACTGCATTCTGGGTCAGGCTGGAACAATCCCACGGCTGAAACAGCCACTCCTGGGCCAAGTCTACATGAACCTGAGTTGGACTTCAGTATCCCTAATGGTGTTCATGGTCAGGAAGGGGGCCAGGACCACACTGAATACAGAAAGGCCCAGAGACCGCCCAGCTTCCTGGAAGGACCACATCAGAGAGATACCACATCTGAGAAGAGAAGCGGCCAGCTCAGTTGCCTCACCGTCAGGGTTAATGAGAAGGGTGCCTTGACCCCACCCCCTCACCCGCAGCAGGACCAGACAAGAAGGAGCCTGATGCTTGGGCTGAGGCCATCAGCTGTGTGCCTGCCCTTCCCTTCCCCTCCCACCCACCCCAGGGAGGGGATTCCTGCAAGGACCTCTGGCAGAAGGTAAGCTTCTCAACAGGGTGGCTGAGGATGGAATTGGGAAGTCGCTCAATCGTGTCTGACTCTTTGCGACCCCATGGACTGTAGCCTACCAGGTTCTTTCGTCCATGGGATTTTCCAGGCAAGAATACTGGAGTGGATTGCCATTTCCTTCTCCAGGAGATCTTCCCAACCCAGGGATTGAATCCGGGTCTCCCACATTGTAGGCAGACGCTTTACCGTCTGAACCACCAGGGAAGTCTTAGAAGGCCCCCCCAAAGGCAGGAGAACTAACCTAGTTTCCTGGCTAGGGAACCTAGGTCTGTTCCCCACAAAGAGGCCAGACCTAGATTCTGTAGATGATAACGAAAACAGGGCTGGGTCTGAAGGAAATGGGAGCAGTGAGTTCAGGGCAGCTCCAGCGGAGCCCGGGCAGGGTAGCTGGGGGAAGGAGAGGGCACACCCCTCCCCATTGCCCCTCAAACAGCTGAACCCTCGGCCCCCGTTGCCCCTTCCTTCAATCCTTACCTTGGGAAACTGGTAGATGATTGTGGGCTCATAATCTTCCCCTGAGTGCTTTTTTTTGAGAGAAACCACGAGGAGGTATTCAAAGAAGTGCTGGCCTCCAGCAAAGTTGGGTAGATAGTGCTCCAAGGCTCTTTCTGGTTCCTTCACTACTTCTCCCAGATTGTCCTGGGGAGGTCCTGAAATCAAGACAGCAGGGCCCATGGGTATTTCACTGATCCGGGTTCCCAGTGGAGGCTATGGGATTCTGGCAACTTCCGCATCTCCAGGCGGCCAGGCCCACGCCAAGGTCCCTGGAGCTGGCCCAGTGCCCCACATCCCAGCACAGGCTCAGAGCCAACTGGGCAGTTTCTGTGCAACTGCAACATTTGGAACCACCAGGAGTCAAGAGAAGGAAAGAAACCACTGATTCAGAAGCCAAGAAAATGTACCAGGGAGGCCGCCTGGGAGGCCCGCAGTCCCAGTAGAGATTCTGCCTGCCTGAAGCAATACACCCCCCAAGTCAACCTGGACACAAGAAATCAGAACAGACCAAGGGCCACGTGGCTGTGACCACACCAACCCCCACAGAGGGCATGACCGGCTCTAAAAACCAACAGGGGAAACCTCCCGGCTCGGTCACATGGGAGAACCGCGTGGAGAATGAAATATAAAAGGAAGAAGAAAAAGAAGTATTTCAAGGGAAGAAACAGCCCCAACGAAGAGGGCCATCCTGGAAAAAGAGGAAGTGGGTAATCTAGTCCAGACCTGCTCGGTGTAGAGGCAATCGTTTGCGGAAGCGACTGAGGATCCCGCCTCCCGCTTGTCTTTCCATCTTCTTGGGCCTGTCAGGCATGGAGTGCCCTCCTTCCTCCAATACAGACCAGCTAGAGAAAGCCTGAGAAACCACCTGCCGGCTCAGTCTCCAGCAACGACTCTATGCGGCCAAGCCACACGCTGTCTTCCAAATAGGCGAGCGCTATTTCCATCCTGTGCACCCAATGGTTGAGCAAGAAGACTGCGGCGGGACCCAGGAAGGCAGCAGAACGCCTGCAGTGACAGAGGCAGCATCCTGGCACTGCAGCTCAGACCTCAGCTCCTCCCAAGAGCCCCAGGGTGTGGTGAGAGAAAAGGTCATAGGCAAACACCCCCAGAGCCCAGCTGCTACTGGGCTAAGGGCTTTTAATTCCGGGCTGAAGGTTGTGCAATGGATTCATGTACAACCTCCGGACAAGGAAGAATGCCTGATAACATCAGACTGTGAGCACTGGACCTCATCAGCCCCAGGACCAGGATTATAAATCTCCATAACTGATCCCTGATTGTTCACTTCTTAACCTCTGCACTGCCCCCTGCTGCACTCTGGGATGTCTAGGACTTCAAGACTGCAAGCAAGAGCACGGACCAAAGACTCCTCGAAGCAAGGTTGCCACGGCGTCCCCTGATTAACATCAATAGACTTCACCTCATCCATCATCTAGGTGGAGAAATTGTTCAAGCAAGAGCAATTCCTGGATATCAGCACAAACCTAAAAGTCTCCTCTCCTGGTGGGGAAATAGAGAACAAAGTCCATCTCTGGGCTAGAGAGTTCCTGATATCGCAGCAGGATCTTCCATGGTGCATCTCTCACCCCCTGCCATATGTCCTAAGGCAGACTTGTCTCACTGGGACCTGTGCCAGGGATCCAGCAGAGAACCCCTCCCCCAGATAGAAAGCACTGACTTAGGACATTCTCCCTTGCCTACAGGAGGGGACTGGTTGCATCAGCAGCCTGAGGGGAACTCGGTGGAATGGAAAGCATCTGGGTGCTGTCCACCCCTACTCCTGCTCAGTCTTTTTTCCCAGATGGTCCAGGTCAACAGTTCTACACAAGCTGAAAGCAGAACAGCTGGCCCCTGGGGCTCCAGTGATGCTGTGTCTGGAGGCTGGGGAAGAGAGACAGAATAGCAATCCATCACCTGGGATTCTCACATAAACTCTTGAGTGTGTAAATGTACATGGTAAGAGAGAAGGACTTTTGCCAAGATGCTGACCCTAAGAGAAGCCTGGCAGTAAAAGGGTTTGATGCCAGTGTCTGCCACTCCTGCAAAGAATCAACAGCCTTCTGGGAGAAAAGTGGGGTGCTGAAATAAGGGAGACAGCTGCTTGCTCTTAATAGCGCCAGACCTGACTTCGGTGGACTAGTAAAATCCATTGTTCAGTGGCCCAGCCATGACTCCTGGGGAGAACGACAGTCACAGTAAATAAGAATGTTACAGTCACTGCAATGGTGAGAACAGTGACCCAAAACACTCAGATCCATCACCACATATTACTTGCAATCTGCACGGACAGGTTGCACAATACTCACCACCAATCTGAAGAACAGGCATCTCCTGATCAGATGGGGAAACTGAGGCACAGAGTTAATTCAGGGACTACTTAGGGAATACAACAGAATCTCTTGGGGGTGGGACTTATGAGAGTTTCATGTTCATGTTCCTACCTTCTGGATGCAGTACACACTAAACATCTCACAGATGTGGGATGCCTCCTGTTTTGCAAAAGACCTTGGGAAGCAAAATCTTTTCACTGATCATTCTGGAACCTAAGGAAATGATTTCTTTCCCTAAATTGTTTGGGTTGCATTTTCAGCCCATTTCTTCCTGCTTTAGCGGAAAAGCCAAGAGAACAGCAAAACTCACAAACTCAAGCAGAAGACTGAACTTTGTGGGCTGCAGACCAAGAAATCCAGAGAAAAAAAGATTGCTTCCTTCTCCCTCTCAAAGGGAGTTAACAACAGAAGAGAAAAGGTCCATCAAACATAGGTTTATAATGGGTCATCTCATCTAAGGGCTTCTCACTAAACAACAACAATCTCGTTTAATCCCCAGTGCCCTGAAAAGGAATCATTATCTTAAATTTTAAGTAGAAGAGGGAGCCTCCCTTTCTAGAGAAGTCAGAAGTCTGGTTACACTTGTTCCTCCACCAGGAAGCCCCTCCCACAGACCTCTGAGGAAAAGTCCCAGAACAAGCTGGAATATAGGTGAGGAGACTTTCTGGGCCCTCAGTCTTGAAACCTTCCTCTTCTAGCTCAGCCACTCTCAACCCAGGACCACTGCCACTGCTCCCCAGAGGATGATTTATACTTGCACCTGTGCATGCACACACACACACACACGCGCGCGCACATCCTCCTACCACACAGTTGCCTTGGAACCAAAAGGGCAAAAGAGGGAGGGGAAACTCCAGGGAAGGTGGAGAACAGTACAGAAGATGAAAAGAGCGCACTCTCCTACAGGCTGCATGCCAGAACTCAGGACAGGTAATACTGGCTGTGCATCTTACAGTTCCTCACTGTCCAGGAAGCTCCTCCAGCCACAATTATCAGCCTTGTTCTGGAAACAACTGGAATGTTTCCTCTGGGTTGCAGAAGCAGCCATTCACACAGGTCTCTCTCAGCCCTTCCATTCACACAGGCTTCTGAGGATTGAGCCAGACCAAGGAGACACCAAGACAGCGTTCAGCAGGGAAGAGAGGCCGCCAGCCCCACCCTTCCTCTGCTCCGGCCACCACTCACACCCAGGGCTCTGTCTCCACCTGTGGTCTCTGACCTCTCTGCCTCAGCACAGGTAGAATGACCAGATAATGGAAACCTGCGTTCAGGGAGAACAGCCAGGGCTGGGGGTGGAGGCAGGGGTAATGGCAGAAGGAGCGCTGGTGTCCCCCTCCAGGTCTCCCCAGCTCTGGGGCTTGGAATAGAAGGAGGTCTCACTCACTCTTTTCACTGCAAATGTTAGAAGGGGTGGGCTGTTTGGGAATGACCCCTATTTTTCCATTGGTTCCCTGCTTCTCAAAAGTTGGGACCTCTGGACAGAGTAAGAGTTGTGGCTGCTGAGCCATAGGACTGGCTAGTGGTAAGCAGCAAAAAAAGTTTGCTGAATGAATAAAAAAAGAAAATGAATTCTGAATTCCCTTCCTTCCAAAACCCAGAGCTCCAGCTGAGAAGAAAGGAAAAGAATATTGACTTCTAATTTAATCCCTACAACCCTGGACGGGAGGAATCCTTCTCTCTTCTCTAATGGGGGATCAGGGATAAGGGAGGCTTGACTTGTCAGGTTCCCAGGCTCTATGGAAGCAGCTGAGCAGGCTCTACCCCGGCTCTGCTCCAGGCCACACTCTCCAGGTCTCCTCGTCGCCCTGGGGTGCGGGTGGGGGCGGGGGGGAGGCCGGGGGTGACGTAGCCTGTAAGAGCGGTTTTGTAGCCGGCGGCTCTGCGCGGGGCAGAATCGCGGGCTCCCACGAGGGGAGTCCAGGGGTGGGGAGGGACGGGGCGGGGCGGTGGGCGGCCGGGAGCAGAGGCAGGGTCTTCCGTGAGGGCGCTGCAGGCACCCTGCGGTTGCCCCACCATCTTCCTGGCTGGAAGGACACGTGGCCCCGGGGCCCCACAGCGGTTTCCTTTGGCTGACAGCCTCCGCTTCACCCCCGCTGGCGTGCCTTCTCCTCTGACCTCCTACCCCTTCCTTCCCCATCCGCCCATTTCCACCTCTACCTGCGTCCTTTCTCTCTAGCTCGCCTGACCCCTGTCCAAGCCCCTGGAATGCCCCCTAGACTGCTCCCCGATCGATCGCGACGCTCTGCAACCCCTGCCCTGGCCCCCCGCCCCCGTCTCCTCCCGTCCTGGTCCGCGGTCCCCCGGCCGTCCCCGCGCCCTCGCCCGGACGCGCCCCGGCCAGCACTAACCCCAGCGGCCGCGCTTCAGCCTCAGGCTGGCTCGGAGGCGGCGGCCGAGCCCATCCATGGCCCCTCGGGTGCCGGGCGCCCGCTCCCAGGTCCGTGGCGGCCCCGCCCCCCAACGCGCGACCTCCGCCGGCGCGACACTTTCACTTTCCCGCGGGGGGAGGCCGAGGGAACCGGCCCGGGGCGGGGCGGCGCACCTTCCGGACTCCGGCCCAACCCCCGGCGCACCTGGGCGGGCCCGCTGTTGCCTGGGCCCCGGGCGGGGCGGCGTGCGGTGACAGAGGGCACCGACGCGCGTCCCGGAGGGGCGGCACCACCTCGCTCCCACCCTTCGTGGGGCGCCCTGGAAGGTTTGACTCTCCCAGCCCCGCGTCTCCGCGAAGGCTCCCTCTACCTCCGCGGCAAGCGCGGGGGGTGGGGGGGGGTGCCCGATCCGTGAGCGTCGGTGCACCTTCCAGGTGGCTGGGGCACGTAACCCAGAAGGAGTTTTCAGCGACTGCACACCTTCCAACCCCTTCACCTCTACCGCCTGCAAGGGCTTTAGCCTCTGTCCAGTTGCAGATCTCTCGCTGTTTGTCCTCCGCGGGGCGCGTATCCCTGCGTTGCTCTTTTCCCTATTCCACTTCTCAAATTAAAGGACCTCCAATTAAAGGACACTGTGGGCTCCTGAGGAGGGGCTGGAGAAGAGGCTTAGGGCCTGGACTCTGCCCTCCATCCCGCCTGTTCTTGGGCAGTTCAGTCAAAGGAGGGCAATCCCCACCATGCCACGGCAGAGATGTGAAAGTCAAGAATAGAAAAGCTCTTTGTAAACTCAACAGTGATGTAAATTTAAGGGATGGTGATAATAAAATGATGCTAATGATGATGACAGCTGCAGCTAGCCACACTCCCCTTCTAATCCCACGTCCAAATACAGCCTTTCAGCTCCTCCTCCGCGCCTCTCATCTTTATTAGCTTCCATACACACCTAGAAAAGTGTGTCGAAAATCCCCTGATGCTGGGAAAGATGGAAGGCAGGAGGAGAAGGGGACGACAGAGGACGAGATGGTTGGATAGTATCACGGATTCAGTGGACATGAGTTTGAGCAAGTTCCAGGAGATGGTGAAGGACAGGGAAGCCTGGCGTGCTGCGGTCCATGGGGTCGCAAGGAGTTGGATACAACTGAGCAACTGAGCAACAACATAAACACCCAGATTTCAAGCTTGTGCTGTCAGAAATGAAAATTTGCATTTGATAAGCTCCACTTGCTCCCAAAGGGGTCTACACTGGTTCCCCTCTGCTTCCCAGGATCTTTAGGGAAAAGATAGAGAAGTACAGAGTCCATCTGAAATTTCTCCTTTCACAGAGGTTTTAGCCTCAGTTTAAGGTATGGGAGATGGGGGGAAGAGGACGCTGTGCAAGAAATATGTCTGGGATCTATAGCAATGACCCCCAGACCTACAACCCCTATCCTTTACATGCGTGGCCTCCAGGTGACTCTTATGTCACAGACTGTGGGTGAGCAGGAGTGAGCCCTGGTATTAAACTGTCTAGCCTTAACCTGGAGGCTCTAAAAGTTGCCTCTTCTCTGGGCCTATGCAATTCTGTACTTAATTACATAGCCTGTTTCTGTTCCCTATTCTCTGTGAATTCCCACACACAAGGACACATATCTTCATCAAGTGCCTTCTCTTGGCTGCATTTGTGTCTTAGGCCTCGCTGTGTAAGTACAGTGGTTGTTCATGATAAACTTCTCCAACTGGTTGAATGTAACTGTGCCTCAATTTTCCCAATCTATTTTATGGTGGTCTTACCCAAACTACTCCCTTCCTTTAAAAACAGATGAAGAAATTTTTGTGTAAGTACACCATAAAGTTACGTACAAGAATGTTCATGTTGAAAGTTTTTTGAAATAGCCTTGAACTAGAAATAACATCACACATCCATAATTACTGACACGGATGAATCACAACATTCTCTTGCAGTAGGGGTACTATACAGCAGTAAGAATGAATAAACAACTACTGCATGCAATAGCATGGCTACGTCATACAAATATAATGTTGAGCAAAACAGCCAGACACAATAGAAGACATATTTTAAGTTCCATTTATGTAAAGCTAAAAACAAGCAAAACTAATATATGGAATGAGAAGTCAGGATGATGCTATGTTAGGAAGGAAGGAGGAAGTAATAATTGAGAACGTCATGGGGCTTCTGTGGTGCTAGTAATGTCTTACTTATTAACCTGGTGGCAGATGCATAGGTGTGCTCACTATGTGGTCATTCTTTGCAGTATATACTTACATGTACTTCTTCCTGTGCATGTGAAACTAAAAAGTTGTTTTTTAAAAGTATACATTAGGAAGTTTGGATGATATAAATGGAGGCCTAAGCAAGTTGAGAATACTCTTGGGAGTCCCTTGACCTGCAAGAAGATCAAACCAGTTAATCCTAAAGGTAAACCACCCTGAATATTCATTGGAAGGACTAATGCTGAAGCTGAAGCTCCAATACTTTGGCCACTTGATGTGAAGAGTCACCTAGTTGGAAAAGACCCTGATGCCAGGAAAGATTAAAGGCAGAAGGAGAAGGGCGTGGCAGAGGACGAGATGGTTAGCTAGCATCACTGACTCAATGGACATGAATTTGAGCAAACTTCAGGAGATGGAGGAGGACAGAGGAGCCTGGCGTGCTGCAGTCCACGAGGTCACAAAGAGTCGGACACGACTTACCGACTGAACAAAGCAAATTGAGAATTAATTGAGAAATTATTGGGATGTAAGGAAGTGGAGTTAGAGGGAGATCTGGGTTTAAAGTGGGATAAAGTGGGGAAGATGAGAGCATATTTACGGGAACAGGGGCCGGAACCGGGGATTGGCAGGGAGAGGTAGAGTAAAGGAAGTGGTAGGTGGAACAAGGTCTAAGAGGGTTGAGAAGATGGAAGGGGCTTTGGCAGAAGACTGGCTTTAAATGGGGAAAAAGCTTTATTTGTGGGAAATAGTCATAGATGTTGATTAATTTGTAGATGAGGAAGTGAAAAGTTAAAGGATAAAAAAGGAGGGCTCAGTTTCAACTAGAAAAAATTCCACCTCCCCCCGCCCCTCCATTCTTGTAGTTGCTGCCTCCCACTCTATCCCTCTGCCTGTTGTCCCAGAGACTGGCTGTGGAGTGGAAGAAAATGTGCCAGCCTTTTCTTGAAGGTCTTGAAAGGAAGCCAACAGGTAAGTGTTATTCAGGAAGGCAGCATGGCTTGGGTGCAGAAGACCCACAGCACAATGACTTGGGTGCATGGACTTAGCCCCAGGCTGCTGCTTACTTGCAGTCTTGGATTAGGCTTTTCCTATACCTCACTCACACTGGAAAAGACCCTGATTCTGGGAAAGACTGAAGGCAGGAGGAGAAGGGGACAACAGGATGAGATGGTTAGATGGCATCACAGAGTCTGAGCAAGCTCCGGGAGCTGATGATGGACAGGGAAGCCTGGCATACTGCAGTCCATGGGGTCGCAAAGAGTCAGACACGACTGAGAGACTGAGCCGAACTGACACCTCACTCTCCTGAAACAACAGAATTACTTAGCAGGGTGCTTGTGAAAACTAGAAAGAATTGATATGTAATCCAAATATAGAAACTTCACATATCCCTTTAATGCACATGTAGTCTCAACTCTCTCTTTTAATTGCAGAAGTACCATCCATGACCAGGCTCCTGTTTCCAGGGATTTCTGGGAAACTGTTAAGAAGTATTTACACATTCTGAAAATGAATTCTGGTAGTTGCTTGTCATCAGAAGCTGCAATAGGGAAGCAAACTGTTACTTTCTCCTTCCTCAGTTAGGTGTGTTTGTCTCAAGACAACTACTGCTCTCCCCTGTGTCATTTTGCCCAGTTTGGACATTGGCCCTATCTTCTATTCAGTAAGGTGATAACTGAGATCAGGAAATAAGATTTGTTAGGACTTTGCTGAAAGTTTTGTGATAAGAAAAGTTTATTTTTACGAAACAGAGAATTTCAAAACTAAGTATCACTGCTCTTGGGGTTTGCAGAGGGTACTTGTCCTGGTAGTTCTCTGCCTGCCCCTAGGTCTGCCCCCATGTTGCAGGGACCAGCAGACCTGATTGCAGAGGAAATGCCCTGAACACAGACCTGCCTCTATGTTCACATTCAGCAGGGGACCCCTGCCCCAAAGGACAGGATGTGATCCTATCTTTTGGCACAAAGTATCAGAACAAAACCACAACAAAAGACATCTCCAAAGAATGGATTCTTCAGTACAGAGCAGCACTGTCCATAGTCCTGTGCAATTTCTCTTCATAACTCGAGATGCACAGAAGCTCAACTCTTTCTCTGTTCCTCAAGCCACCTTGGAGTCTTGGCTTCTGATCTCCTGCAAAAAAATGACTTGAACAACAACCCACACATCTGCTAAGAATAATCAACAATAGCCAGAATTAGCAAAAGACCTCTGAGTATTGGAAACAAAGACCACCTTTTACATTCCCACAAGGAGTTCTCAAACCTTTCTCCTGGACTACAGTCTCTGCTCTATTTGGATAAATTTGACCAAACCTGATACCTTCTCTCTATTTCAATCAGACCTTCCTGTTACAACATCAGATCACCCTCTTTCCTTTGTTTCCTTAAAAGCACTTAAAAATTTATAGCTATACATGTATTTTTGAGATTACTTGTTCAACTATTCTCTCCCTTTCTAGAGTCGTCCCCAGGAGGCATAGATTGTGTCTCTTTTGCTCATCCCTGTGTCCCCAGTGCCTAGCACAGTGCTGGGCACACATTAGGTAATCAGTAGACATTTCTTGATTGAATAAATGAGTGAATGACAAGGTGGGTAGTCTGCCCAAAGTGTCTGAGTCTAAGGAGACATAAAGTTTATCGGAATATTTTTGGTCTTCCAAGTTCTTTCAGGGCTAACACTTAGATTACTTAACTCCCACTTTCTGTTTCTCTCTCTCTTTTTTTTTTTTCTGGAAGAGTCTTTGATCAGAGGTATATCAGATCAATGAGATTTGATCATGGCAGTCCCAGTCTCCTTTCTTGAGAATGATTTATAGCAGGCAGG